GAGACAGGATCTCACTGTGTTTCCCAGGCTGGTCTCAAACTTCTGGGCTCAAGTGATCCACCCACCTTGGCCTCCCAAAGTGCTGGGATTATAGGTGTGAGTGACCTTGCCTGACCTCCTGTTAGGTTTTTGTTTGTTTGTTTTTTCTATTTGTTTGTTTCGATTTCTTTCTTTCATGTTCCTGGTTCTACCCACATCTCATATTTAAAAATGGGGACATTGATGTTGCTTGGAATCTCTGTGCCCATGAGTAAGGCTTGGCAATTTGGGTTCCATTATGTTGCCACTGAGGAGGGCCTGGCTGGGCTGTTTTGTTGGGGATCTTCAATGTCAGTATGTTTAGGTCTTTTCTCTTGGACCTCTAGTCAGTTTTCCCAAAGCAGACTCTTCTAGTCTTCCGCTTGGAGGTAGATAGTCTGGCTCCTGGTTGCTGGGAGCCACAGGGGAAGAGGGTTGGGCTTGGAGAGGAGTCTCATCATGTAGCATGCCTACCTATGTTTAATCCCCCTCAACTGTGTCTGCGTTCTCCAGCCAGAAACCCTGGATTTTACCCTCTCCAGAGGGTAAACCTTGGACCAGGGTGTGGAAGGGGCAGTCACCCAGCTGTGTGGAGCTTGGAGGGGATCTGTCTGCTTCTTAAACAGATTTTCAAATAATCCTCCGTATTTCGCCTCCCCTTTAACCTCATTTCCAAAGGTAACTGGGGCCACTCATTCACGAACTTTAGGAATCTGCCTTATAAATCGCATGGTTTGAGGCTTCCTCAGGGCTGGCTAAAGAAGACTCTCTTTCTCTCTCTTTCTTTCTCTCAAGTCATTTACTGTCCATTTGCTTTCCAGCTCCCAAAATGTGAAAGCTTTTGTACTTGTCTCTTGCTCTCCCCATCCCCGGTTTATATCTTTTTAAAAAATCCCTTTGGGAGGACGTGAGAGCAGACTCATGTGCTCATTCTGGCATCAAAATGAGTTGCAGATGTTGTTACCTCACTTTTTAAATGCGGAAGTAGAAGCTCAGAGAGGTGAAGTAACTCGTCTAAGGGCACGGCTTGAGGGCCACAGAGTTGGGGCTGGCCCTAAGGCAGTGTTCTTGGGTATAGAGGACAAGGATCCTGACCAAAGATCAGGACACAGGTGTCCCAGAGCCATGGCATATTCGTGTTAGCGGGGCCTTTGGAGAACAGCTGGTCCAACCCCCACATTTCATGGTGAGAGAAGCGAGGTTCGCAGTGGAGAGAGGACTCTCCCAGAGTCATGCAACAAGTTCGTGCAAAACCTTGATAAGAAACACTCCCTACTATACCACCCCTTGCTGTGACAGTCATTCCGTCATGACTAAGCAAACATTTATTGAGCACCAGCTGTGAACCAGGTCCCACGCTCTGCCTGGGACCACAGACATGAGTAAAACTTGGTCCTTGCCTGCATGGAGGCTCCACCAAGCTCCCCGCCGACTGCTAGGCGCCCATGATGGAGGTGCTGGGGAGGAGGGCAGTAATAACAGTACTTTTACTGAGTGTTCACTTCGTGCCAAGCACTGTCCTCATTATTTTTCACGTATGAGTGCATTTTATTTTCACAGCGAGCCTACGAGGTAGGTATTGTTAATATGCCCACTTCACAGGTGAGGAACCTCAGGCATGCAGAGCCTGGACTTCAAAGCCAGGCAGCTCCAGAGTCTGAGCTTTAGCCAGCACCCTGCGATGAGGACTGCCTGGAGGAAGGGAAGCAATGGAGGACAGCAGAGGAGCGGGGAGGCAGGGGGAAGGAAGTGGCAGTGGTTGAGCTGAAGGGAAGGGGCAAGTCACCCTGATCTGTCTCCTTCCTCCCTCAGTGCTCGGTGGGCCCCTCCTCTGATAAGGCCTTGACCTTCATGAAGGACCATTTCCTGATGGATGAGCAGGTGGTGGGGACACCTCTGCTGGTGAAGTCTGGTGTGGAGTACACACAGCTTGCGGTGGAGACAGCCCAGGGCCTTGATGGGCGCAGCCATCTAGTCATGTACCTGGGTACCAGTGAGTAAAGGGTTCCAGGACATCCTCAGAGGACGAGGGCAGGGGCTGCACTCAGGTTGAGGAGGGAAATCCTTGAGCTCATTCAATCACTCATTCATGCAACAACTGTTTATTGAGCACCTACTATGCGCCCGGCACTCTGCTAGGATCAGAAAATATAACAGGGAAGCAAAACAGTCCAGTCCCTACACTTTCCAGCTTTGTCTGGTGAGAAAGACATACAGGGAGGTCTTTGGTGGCCTTAGCAAGAGCTGTTTACCTTATGGGGGAGCCACGTTAGAGGGGTGAACGGTGAGTGGGTAGAGAGGTAGTGGGTAAACAGCGAGTGTAGAAATCACTCCTTCAGAAAGCTTGGCTGTGAAGGGGGAGAGGGGATTGGGGGGTGAGTGGAGAGGGGTATGAGGCCCAGCAAGAGTTCTTGTTTTACAGATGAGAAAGACTGTGAGGACCTAGTAGACAGGGAGATGGGGAAGAGATGGGCAGGAGAGGGGATAATGAGCAGGTAAAATCGTGGAGGGAGCAGGAGGCTGGAGTCCCGGACACAGGAGGAGCGATTAGCCGTGGATGGCGGAGGCCTCTGATGGGTGGGAGTGAAGTTGTAGAGGGTGAGACCTGGTGAGTGTGTAGACTCAGGGGCCAGGAAGCCAAGGGAGGTCTTCTCTCTATGAAGGAGGAGGACACAAGGTCACGAGCTGGGAGTGAGGGGGGCGGGCAAGGTGGGAAGTTTGAGGAGAGAGGGGTAGATTCAAATGGTTATTGTGGAAAGAGGGAGAGAGAGTCAGCGGGGAATGCGACAAGGGCCAAGCATATCGAGGCCTGGCTGAGGTGGATGACCTTGAGCTTCAGTGGAAGAAACCCACCAAGTTCATTCATTCCTTCAGGCCGTGTTACTAGGCACTGTTCTCAGCTGTTCATATACTGGGTCTATAGTAGAGAACAACACACACACAAACGACAGTCCTCGTGGAGTGGGTGAAGACACACAATGAGCATACCGAATACGTAAATGCATAGTACGTTATGAGATTTGGAAGTCAAGTAGAGCAGTGTGCGGGGGAATCAGGAAGCCAGTTGGAGTGGTTGCAATTTTTAAAAGACTCCCTAACGTGCCTTTGAGTAGAGACACTTGGTAGAAGTGAGGGAGGCTGGTGGCGTGACTTTCTACAGAAGTACTCAGGTGCCCGCTGCCCCATGCCTGTGGAGAACGTAGACAGCTGGGTTTCTCCAGGGATGCAAAGGGAGGACAGGGCTGAACCATTTGTGAGAGAACCCCATCTCCATGGCCCAAGGGGAAGGGAGTGGTCTGGCTGCCCTGTGCCCAGTGCACGTCACACTTCGGAAGGAGCCTTCTGACAGCTGGGGAGACCACCTGAGTCAGAGAGGGCTGTGTGGACGAGGTGAGATGACTTGAGCGCTCTCCATCTGCCCACAGCCACGGGGTCCCTTCACAAGGCTGTGGTGAGTGGGGACAGCAGTGCTCATCTGGTGGAAGAGATCCAGCTGTTCCCCGACCCTGAACCTGTGCGCAACCTGCTGCTGGCCCCCACCCAGGTGGGAAGGGACTCAACCATCAAATGGCCTTCTGGTGGGGCTGGCCTTGGGGGCAGGTTGGGCTGGCTCCCTGGGCCAGGGCTTTGCCAGCTGTGGCTGGGGCTCCCTGACACTCTCCGTTTCTCTTCCAGGGCGCAGTGTTCGTAGGCTTCTCAGGAGGTGTCTGGAGGGTGCCCCGAGCCAACTGCAGTGTCTATGAGAGCTGTGTGGACTGTGTCCTTGCCCGCGATCCCCACTGCGCCTGGGATCCTCAGTCCCAAATCTGTCGCCTCCTGTCTTCCCCCAACCTGTGAGTGCCGTTCCTGGATGGCGGCTGAAAATGGCCAGCCAGGACCCTTCTTACCGAGCTTCTGCTACTGTTCTTCCTCTCTGCAGGGGCTACCGATACATTTACTCTGGGAGTCCACCTGTCCCGTGGTGGTTCCTCCAGGGATGGAGTGTTGCTGGGCAGTTTTGAAGCTGCTCCCGCCATCCTGGGTTCCTCTTCCTCTCCTCTCTCTTCTACCTCATCTGCCCTGGGCTATCTTCTTCCCCACTGCACTTTCCTCCCTTCCTCCTTCCTCTTCCCACTTTAGGCTGTTTCAAGGGGATGATTTTTGCTTTCCTGCCCTCTCAGGAACTCCTGGAAGCAGGACATGGAGCAAGGGAACCCAGGGTGGGCATGTGCCAATGGCCCCATGGGCAGGAGCTTCCGGCCTCAGAGCCGCCCGCAAATCAGTGAGTGTGGAACCAGGGGAGGTTTGAAGGCTCTGCAGGACTTCTGGGCAGGGGTGGGCATTCCTGCTTTGGTTTCCTCCCCCAGCACCTGCCTGGCTTGAGATCTGAACTCGAGAATTGGGGCGGATTTGGGTCCTGGCTTGTAGGGAGGAGAGAGAGGAATTCTGAGCTGGGGACCAAGCTGGGATCCAGGTTTGAGGTTGCAATTGGTTTTGGCGTCAGAGTTGGAGTTAGATGGACTGGGGGTTAGACTGGAGATTGAGAGCGGTGAGAGTTGAGTTTGGGAGTTGAAATGGAAGTTGGAGCTAAGAGTTGGGGTCCAAAGGTGGCTTAGCGACTCTCTCCTGTCTTTCTTCTTTCCCCTCCCTTAACCCTTTTGCCCCTTCCTTCTCCTACAGTTAAAGAAGTCCTGGCTGTCCCCAGCTCCATCCTGGAGCTCCCCTGCCCCCACCAATCAGCCCTGGCCTCTTACCACTGGAGTCGCGGCACAGCCCCAGCCCCAGAAGCCTCTTCCACGGTCTACAACGGCTCCCTCTTGCTGATACTGCAGGACGGAGTTGGGGGTCTCTATCAGTGCTGGGCCACTGAGAATGGCTTCTCATACCCTGTGGTCTCCTACTGGGTGGACAGCCAGGACCAGACCCTGGCCCTGGATCCTGAACTGGCAGGCATTCCCCGGGAGCATGTGGAGGTCCCTCTGACCAGGCTCAGTGGTGGCACTGCTCTGGCTGCCCAGCGATCCTATTGGCCCCACTTTCTCACGGTCACTGTCCTCCTCGCCTTAGTGCTTTCAGGAGCCCTCATCGTCCTCCTGGCCTCCCCACTGGGGGCACTCCGGGCTCGGGGCAAGGTCCAGGGCTGTGGGACCCTGCCCCCTATGGAGAAGGCCCCGTTGAGCAGGGAGCAGCACCTCCAGCCGCCCAAGGAACACAGGACCTCTGCCAGTGATGTGGACGCTGACAGCAACTGCCTGAGTACTGAGGTGGTTTAAACTCTGGGCACAGGCTGGGGCTGCAGGGTAGGGCAGGCACCTGGCCATGCTGGCTGAGGGCCCCTGGAGCAGTGCAGCCCTGACTAGGGTGGGAGCACAAAAGACCACCTTTCTTCCATGACAGGAGCTTCTCCTGCCACTCTGCACAACTGGTAGCACTCAGCAGGGTCACCACACAGCCCACCTCCCCTGTGGGACTCCCTTCTAGCAAGCACATGGGCTCTCCAACAGGGGGCTACCCCGGAACTGCACCTACTCTGCGACAGGAGGACCCGGGGAGAATCCTTTAGTTCTGGCCATTCCAGGGACCCTCTAGAAACATACTGTTCCAGGAGACCCTAAAAAACTTAACTGTTCCAGGACCCTATGGTAATAGACACCAAACATCTAAACAACCGTAAGCTAACTTGCCACTCCTGGACACGCCACTCGGAAGCCACCACCTTGGACATTCCCCTCTCCCAGGGGTTTCTAGGGTTCTTCAGGGATCTGCTCCCTCCTGCTCCCCTTACCAGTCATGCATTGCAGACTCTCAGGAAGTCTTTCCTGACGTCTGACCACCTTCCTTCTTGCTTCAGCTGGGGCAGATTGGGATCCTTTCTGCTCTGGCTAGAATGACAGGGGTAATCTGAGCCTCATTCACTTGTTTCCCCTGGCTGACCCCTTGACCTCTCACCTCTCCCCTTCCCTTTGTTTTGAGATTCAGAAAACTGCTTGTCACAGACGGTTTATTTTTTATTAAAAAGACAAAACTTATGACTGGTGCTGTTTTTGCTGGAGCACTCTGCCAGGATGTGAAGGGAATAAGCAGTTCGAGAGCATTGAAGAGGACTTGGTTTGTGGGTGATTGTTCTTGCCAACTCCAGACTGTCTCCTCTGCCCTGCCAGCTCCCCACCCGGAGCCAGCCAGCCCCACAGCCCTTCCCTGCACGCCAAGCATTGCTAGAGAGTGCCTCAAAATTTCCCCACTGGGCCAACCGCAGGCCGGTGTTGGCCGGCCTCGGCTGTGTCTGCTAGACAGGCGACACCTCATGCATCACGGCCTCCCCTACTGCAGCCCCCACAGCTGCTGTCCCCAGCTCTCCCACACTTCTCGTGACTCCAGCTCAGCCCCCTTCCCCACTGTAGCAGTTGGCTTCAACTCTTGGTAGATGAATTTATAGAAAGACCGTGCAGCCACCCCCATCCTGGCCACATCTTTCCCATATCTGACGAATAACACCCTGTCCACACCTCTACACCACCTTCCCCCTCTCCCCTGTCACGAAGGCACATGTCCCTCTTCCAATGGAGGCCAGCCAGTGCGTTGCCCCCTCCTGTCTATCACTGCTCGAATTTGTTCTGTAAGTTATCTGCCCCCAGCATTCCCCCCCCCACTTTACCCCCTTCCTCAACTTTAATCTCCCCTCTCCTTCCGACAGGTGTACTCAGGTGTTCTCTGTATGAAAAAGCAAAACAACAACCCTTGCTACAACCCTGCCCATTCACCGTGCCCACTCAGTCTCTTTCACCAGAGAGGGTCCATTCTGGCTGCCCCCACTGCCCCCCAGAGTCGCCCCAGCTCTCTTTAATCCCCCGTGGGCTGGCTTCTTTCCCCACCTTTCTGCTCACAGGACTTTGGCCAAGACTACCCATAAGCTCCTAACTGCCAAACTTGACCTTGACCTCTGTGTAGCCTTCACACCTTGGCCATTCTATTCCCACGACTCTTTTCTACTATGAGTTCTTTCTTAAAAAAATTTTAATTGTGGTAAAAAACAAATACTATAAACTTTACCCTCTTAGCCACTTTTTTGAGACAGAGTCTCACTGTGTTGCCTGGGCTAGAGTGCCATGGCGTCAGCCTAGCTCACAGCAACCTCAAACTCCTGGGCTCAAGCGATCCTCCTGCCTCAGCCTCCCGGGTAGCTGGGACTACAGGCATGTGCCACCATGCCCAGCTAATTTTTTCTATATATTTTTAGTTGTCCGATTAATTTCTTTCTATTTTTTAGTAGAGACGGGGTCTCGCTCTTGCTCCGGCTGGTCTTGAACTCCTGAGCTCAAACAATCCACCCACCTCGGCCTCTCAGAATGCTAGGATTATAGGTGTGAGCCACCACGCCTGGCCCCTCTTAGCCATTTTAAGTGTACAGTTCAGTAGTATTAACTATATTCACATTGTTGTGTAACGGATCTCTAGAACTTTTTCATCTTGCAAGACTGAAACTCTATACCCATCGAACAGCAACTCCCCATTGCCCCTCTCCCAGCCCCTGGCAACTACCATTCTATTATACTTTTTGTTTCCACGATTTTGAGCACTCTAGATATCCCATACAGTATTTGTCCTTTTGTGACTGGCTCATTTCTCTTAGCACAGTGTCCTCCATAATGTTCATCCATGTTGTAGCAGGTGACAGGATTTCTTTCTTTTTTAAGGCTGAATAATATTCCATTATGTATATATATATCTCACATTTTCTTTATCCACTCATCCATCAATGTATATATGAGTGTTTCTGCCTCTTGGCTATTGTGAATAATACTGCAATGAACATAAGTATGCAAATATCTCTTCAAGATCCTGTCTACTGCTGGGCACAGCACCTGTAGTCCCAGCCACTTGGTAGCCTGAGACAAGAGGACTGCTTGAGCCCAGAAGTCTGAGACTGTAGTTTGCTATGATCATGCCTGTGTATAGGCACTTCACTCCAACCTGGGCAACACAGTGAGACCCTATCTCTAAAATCCTGTCTATGTCTACTATGGCTTTTTTTTTTTTGAGACAGGGTTTCACTCTGTCACCTGGGCTAGAGTGCAGTGGCATCATCATAGCTTACTGAAACCTCCAACTCCTGGGCTCAAGTGATCCTCCTGCCTCAGTCTCCCAAGTAGCTGGGACTACAGGCACAAGCCACCAAGCCTGGCCAGTTTTTCTATTTTTTGTAGAGATGGGGTGTCTCTCTTGCTCAGGCTGGTCTCAAACTCCTGGTCTCAAGCAACCCTCCCCCCTCTGCCTCTGAAAGTGCTAGAATTACAGGCATGAGCCACGGTGCCTGGCCTACTATGTTTTTTTTATTGGAGTGATTTGGCTTCTCTAGTTATTTCTTTCTCCCCTGCTGGCTCCTTTTCTTCCTCCCATTCTCCAATGCGCTTTTACCCCCATGCCCAGGTTTCAGCCCTCCAAGCACCCTTTTCAGACTTCCTCCCCTGATGATCTCTAAGCCAGGCTGTGGGGCAGCAGCGGGCAGTGGAGAGGGCACTGGACCAGGATAGATTCCTGGGATCTTCATCTGCTGTCAATTTCTTCTTCTTCTTTTTTCTTTTATTTATCTGGTAATCACTTGGTATTCTGTCAATTTCTTTACCTCTTGGAGGAAGGGAGTGAACAGGAAGATCTTCCTGCTCTAAAGCATTATGGATCCCCCACTGCTAAATATATAGCTCCAGTGATGAGCTGTCCCCCAGGCTCCAGCCAGTATGAGGACAAGCCTGTTAGACATCTTCACCCAGGTGACCCAGAGGCTCCTCAAATCATATCCCTTTCCTCCCTCCTCCCCCAGCCTCACTCTGGTATGCATATACCACATTGTGCCTTTCTGTTCATCTGTCAATGAACACTTGGGTTGCTTCCATGTTTTAGTGATTGTGAATGGTGCTGCTATGAACATATGTGTATAAATAGTTCTTCAGGACTTCACTTTCAATTCTTTTGAGTATATACCCAGAAATGGAATTGCTGGATCATATGGTAATTTTGAGGAACTGCAATAATGTTTTTCCATAGCGGCTGCGCAGTTTGACATTTCCACCAACAGTATACAAGGGTTCCAATTTCTCCACATCCTTGCCAAAACTTGTTATTTTCTGGGTTTTTCTATAGTAGCCATCCCAACAGGTAGAAGGTGGTATCTCATTGAAGTTTTGATTTGCATTTCCCTGATGATTAGTAATGTTAAGCATCTATTCATGTGCCTATTAGCCACTTGTATATCTTCTTTGAAGAGATGTCTATTCAAGTACTGTGTCTATTTTTGAATCAGGTTCGTTTCTGTGGCTGAGTTTTAGGAATTCTCTCTATGGTGACAATACCTTATAATATTTATCCTTTGTTCTCTGGTACCTTCCTACCTCTCTGGCCACTGCTTCTTAGTTTCCTTCAAGTGTTCCTCTTTCTCTTATCTCCCTTTAAAATTCTCCTTGGACAATGTCTCCCATGGTTATTGTTTCCATTCCCATCTCTTGACCAAGGATGCCCATTCATTCATTCAGCCAGCATACACTTAGTATCTGCTGTGGTTCAGAAGCTGGCCTAGGCAGCTGGGGAGACACATGAATCAGACCTGCTTCCTGCCCTCACAGGGCTTACAATCCAGCAGGAGGGACGACTGGCAGCAATCGGAGCTGAGGGTGGGGTGGGGTGGGGTGGTGGGAAGAGCTATTGTGGGGGTAAGTGTATATTGCTAGCTCAGGCTTCCTGCCTCCCCTTTAGCTACTGGATACACCACAGACATCTCTAACGAACATGCCCCAAACCGAATTTATCATCCTGTTCGAGCCTGCTCCCCTCCCACATCCCCCATGCTAGCTAATCACACTGCAGTGTAGAAGCTTGGGACTCATCCTACAATTCCTCTCCCTCGCCCCCTCCACATTTAGAGGGCACCAATCCTATATCCTCTCCTTCCTCCCGCTTCCTGGAATTCCTCAGCACCTCTGCAGCTCACTGTGCTCAAACCACCTCACCAGGACAACAGGAGCAGACCCCTAACCAGTTTCTGCCACCTTCTCCTCCCATCCACTCTCCAGTCTCCGGACAGGGTCAAGAGGACCTAAAAAAGGAAAATTGTGCCCAAAACTCCAAATGGCTTTTTTTAATTAAATTTGGAATAAAAAATGAAAACTCCTTGGAATGGTGTGCCTTGCCTCCAGCTCTTCCAGACACATCCGGGCACTACTTGCAGTATTTGATCCCTCTATGCAGTTTTAGGGAAACCTTCATTGAGTGCCTAGCACTGTTGCAGGCCTTGGTGACACGGAGATGAATAGACCTCCTGCCTTAAGGAACTAACAGTAAGGTTCCTTTAGGTATGCTATTTATTCCTACTAGAACATCTTCCTCTCTGTGGATCTTCTCTCCAGTCCCATCCTTTTCACACAGTGCTCTTTCTTCCTTGTGTTTACATCCTTGGTATATGGTAGGCACTCTCTCAATGTTGAAATCCATTCATTTATTCAACAAATGTTTACTGAGCACCTACTATGTGACAGGCACTATTAGGTTCTGAGGACACATCAGTGAATAAAACAGATATGATTCTTGCCTTCATGAAGCATACATTCTAGTATGAGAGACAGGATATACAGTTGACTCTTGAACAATGCAGGGGTTGGGTTCATCAACCCTTGCACAGTCAAAAATCCACATATAACTTTTGACTCCCTGAAAACTTAACTTCTGATAGCCTACTGTTGATCGGAAGCCTTACTGATGACATAAGTAGTTGATCAACATATACTTTGTATGTTACATATATTATATACTGTATTCTTAAAAGTAATCTAGAGAAAAGAAAGTGTTAATAAGGAAATCATAAAGAAGAGAAAATATATTTACTATTCATTAAGCAGAAGTGAATCATCATAAAGGTCTTCATCTTCATCCTTCTTCATATTGAGTAGGTTTAGGAGGAGGAGGAAGAGGAGGGGTGGGTTTTGCTATCTTAGGAGTGGCAGAAGTGGAAAAAAATCTGCATATAAGTGCACCTGCACAATT